GTAGTTCATTCTTTTGCTCAAGTAAGAACCAAACCATACTGTTTCCACTACCTTACCCTCTTACACATGCGAAAAATGAACATGTATCTTATGTAGCTGTTACTTTTCTCCAGCTGCTAAGTGCTTAATCGCAACTAAACAGTGTTTCAATGCGTGGCTCATACAATAGTACATGCAATCACAATCTGTAAAATAATCCAAAAGTGGCTATAGACAAAGAGAAACTGTTTTCATAATTTGCTCTTATCTTCTTAATACTTGTCTTGTTTTTAGTCTGCTTTTATTTCTAGTCAAGCTAGGATCCTAGAATTTTTTCTGTGTAATATCTGCCAATTCAATTAACGGCCTGTTTACTCCCTCTTCCAGATCATTAATGAAGATGTTAAATAAAACCAGTTCTAACACTAATCCCAGGGTGCCTTGGCAGACATTTCTGCTCACAACATAATTCATCATACCCTTTGTTTGGAGATTACTTGGATGATATAGCTGATGTAAAAGAATGCTGCCCACCTGCTTGGCTGTGTTATCCACAGGGAACATATTACAACAATTACAAGAAAACTTCACTGACTTTATTTGCTTCTTGCTGCAAGCCAGACAATGAAGAGTGTTGACAAGGTTCTAGAGAAGAGCTCTAAAAATTTTTGTTCCTGATATCTGAGAGACAGTTCAGCAACCAGATCACTGGAAATGCTCATCATAGAAGCACATTTCTACTCTTTGAGAAAAAGACTTATTAATTAATGGAGTTAGAGAGATGCAAAGTCCCAGGTTTAAATAAAAATAAATAAATAAATAAATAAATTTCTACAGATGAAGAATTCTCTCGGTAATTTTCCACCCCAGATAATGATCCATGTAACATTGTCACTTACATGGTATCACCAACCATTTTTCAGTGCTTGTATCTCCTGGTGTAGTTTTCCTTGTTGGTAAATCAGAATACAGATGGTTAAAACAAGGTCTTTCCCTCTTTGAAGAAATAAATAAAAAATAAGGCATTTAGTGGTAGTAGGCATTGTGACTTGAAGAAATAAATAAAAAATAAGGCATTTAGTGGTAGTAGGCATTGTGACTTCCAACAGTTTTTATTCTATTTGTATAAATAATCTCTATAGTTAGTGTGATATAATCTCTATAGTGGAAGCCATAGTGGAAGCTTGCCACTATTACAAAAAGAGTCCAGGGGCTCATTTTCAAACAGCAGTCTGCTTAAACCCAAGATAATTGCAGCTGGTATTATTACTGTGTGATTTCATGATTCAGATATTATTTATGTTATTTGTGGATATAAATCCTATAAATGTGTTTCTGAAGTCCAGTGAGAAGCTTTGTTTTATTTTATGAAGTTCTTTCAGTTTCCTTCATCAGATTCTGTTTATTAGTATTAACCAACATTAATCTTTCCCTAATTACTCGTGTCTAAAACCTTTTACAATGATGACACTTTTATTCACTGACATAAACAGCCTCTTTTTTTTTTATTAGATCTGACTTAAAATGGGTAATAGAATAGGTAGAGTCCACAACTACTTATCAATGAACCTCTTTTATCTGTGATGAACCACACTGTAAATAAAATAAATAAAAAAAAAAATTTCACCATTATCGCTGTAAATCTGTATGAAGGAAGTAAAGCCAAAGGTTGAAATACAGTAGAGAAAGTTCAAAATACCTGAAGGCAAAAGGAATAAATCATTCATAGTATTGCAATGTTGCCAACCCTTACACTGAAAAAGTGCATCCTAAAGAAAGGTTTTGTCCTTTTTGAACTTTCCGGTACTCCTGTCAAACCTCTTCTTCCTCAAGTTCTGTGGTTATTCTCTACCAAATAACCTTGTTGCCAAAGTAACCTTCTCTCCACTTTACAAAACATCAGAAACTTTTTTGTACAGAAGTCCACCTCTTACTGCTGTAGCAGTTTAATCAGCAACTGGTTTTGACAGTCCTCTGCCAACAGCTCTTAGATACAGTATTTCATTATCAGGAGGTGAAAAAACAAAGTCTGAGTTGGCAACATGTGCACAATACGATCTGGAACTTGTTTGAGTAACAAAGAATTTCACACGGAATTCAAAACCACAGCAAGAGCAACCTGGCTGATGAACAATGTAGAACTCAGACTCATAGGAAACAAGCAGATTGGAAGACACCTCTGCTCAGCTAGTCCCACTCAAAGCAGGGCAATTTTCAAAGTGAGATTAGATTCCATAGGGTTTTACTCCAAGAGTACTCTCTTAATACGGAGATTTCACAAGCACCCTGGACAAGATGTGTCACCCAAACACTCCTGTTCTTAACCTCTTTATATTCATTTATTTTTTTTAATGTAGAAAAATATTTCCGTTCCTGAATTAATTCCTGAATGCCTCTTGTCCTTTTGCTGTGAGCCTCTGAGAAGAGCCTCTGCATCCTTAATATTCTTAAGCAGGTGAAGACAGAGATCAGAGAAGCGTAGAAAGCCTTGCTTCTCTCTTCTGCCGAGCAAACACTGCTCTCTCAGGCTCTTGCCACTCAACTCCTAAACATATTGGTGGAGCTCGGCTGGACTCGCTTTAGTTTCCTAAGTCTTCCTGTGCTGGGAAATCCAAAGCTACACACTGGAGTCCAGGTGTGGCTTCCCGTGACATTACTAAGCAGAGCCCATCGCTTTCTGTGGCGTGAGGCGAGCCGGTGTTTTCCCGTGGCCGGCCAAAGCGAAGGGGCGGCTGGCGGAGCGCTGCGGCCGTGCCGCACGGTGCGGTTCTCCCTCATGGCCAGGCGGGCGCGCTGCCGGGCCGCGCTCCCGTGCCGCTACCCCGTCCTGCCGCACAGAGCCCCGGGCAGCACCTGCGACGTGCGGTCATTCCGCCCCAGGAGCTGGACTTTGAAAAAGAGCCATCCTCTCGCTACTGTACAAGTCCAGGCTTCTTTGTGTCTGAATTTCCTCACGTCTAGAAAATAGATCTATTCACTCTGAAACCCAGCGAGACATTTAGTAATTCTCCTCCTTCAGGCCCACATTTGTTTCCTTTGTTTTGCCTCCTTCTTACCCCTTGAGAAAAAAAAAAAAATAAATAAAAATAAAAAAAATATCTTGGCTGGCCCTTCTCTGCTTTCCTGGCTCGAAAGGCAGGAATGAAATGAAAACCTCAGCTACAGTAATGATATGCTGCCTCCTTCCAGCCAGGAGGAAAAATCTCTTTCGAATCTCCACACGGACAGGCAGAAATTCATAAAGAGCTAAAGCTTTTTATCCTACATCAAAACTGTCTCTAGCCTTTACTAAACTCAGCAAGATCTGTTCTTTCCTTCCAAATTGTTACCCCTGACTAAGACTCAAGAATAAAGTAAGCTCTTTGGGACAGTCAGGAAGCTGGACATCACTTTTGGGTAAAATGAGTACTTTGGAAGACAAAAATAGAAATAAAGTTCATAAAATGGGACATTTACATTACTTTCATTAGCCAGTTTCGGTTCTGCTTTCCATTCTTTCTTGCTGATAGGGTTTCAAGTAATAAATATATGTATGGAAGGCATCCAGTTTTGTTTAATTCACTGGCATTGTCTGAGGAGCAATGAATCATGTCAGAGATTTAAAGGGATTACTGATAGAGAGGAGTGTAACCTTTCTTCCAATACAACAGCTGTTCTGAAAAATTTCCATAATAACAGTTGCTTTTAATTATATAAAGAATTGCAAAGCCTTTTTAGCTTCATATCAATAATGCAGCTTTGATTCAAAAGTTGCTAAAGAGATAATCCTCAGCCTTTTTTGTCAGAGCCAGTTTGTGAATAGCAATGATTTAAATCCCAATGTCATCTTTTTTATCAAAGGAAGGAAAGAATAGTCTTTATTTCCTTGGAACTTAGACTGAAAAATTACAAACAATGCTTGGAAAACATTCTTCTCATAAGATGCCTTCAAGAAATGCTACCGATGCCTAAACAGACACATGTAAAATAAAAGTATCAGATGTATGGCACAGACATGAGGAGAAAAAAAACCCACTAAAATATCTAGTCAAACATTACCGATAAGAATAAATCATAAATCTCTATATCTAGAATTGGTGTGTTTTACTAAAGAAGGATTATTTTTAGTAATTTTCAGGGCCCTGCCAAGTCAGTAAAAATTGCATTTCTTTATCTTCCACTCTCCCTGCATCTTTCTGTGATTAAGTACTGGCCTCTGACTGCTTAATGCTTATTCATTCCTCATTTTCTGGGCAGATCACTAGTTTGTGAAGATAATTAGAGACCCCTGCTATTCCTCCTAAGCCTTGAATCTTCAGACTAATTAAAATGGAGTGTTGCATATACACATGCAGCTGATAAAGGCTTACAGCAAGGTACCAAAATCATACTATTTGTGTCACAAATAAAAGAAAAACTCATTGCAACTGCTAGGATGGAGCAACATTTTTGCTATGGTCTTCTTTCGTGGTTTAAGAATAGTATCCTTCAATTAAGTACTCTCACTTAGACACTCCAAACCACGTGCTACTCCCCTCGCTTCCCTTTTCCCTCTCCTCCCACTCTGCAGAGGGCTGGAGAGGAGAATTGGAGGCACAAAAGGCAAAGACCACGCATGGACTGAGATAAAAAGTCACTGGAAACAGCAATGAGATAAGAAAAAAACCAGCAACAATATTAAAAGCAAAAGCTTACAAGAGAGAAAGTGATTCACATGCAAAAATGTTCACCATGGCACTCAACCCAACCAAGGCCACGTCACCCCGACCATTCCTTCTGGCTTGGGACCAGTGCTGCCCAACTGCTCCCTCCAGAAGGCACTGGCACCCTGCTTATTCCAGCAGCAGGGGCCCTTCTCCCTAGAAGAGTCCTTTTCTCCCACCCCTGTCAATGACCTGAGGTGGTACAGATCAACCTCTGGATCCTAGACAAGCCCCCTCCTAGCTACTGAAAAAATTAACACTGTTCTGGCCAGAACCAGGACACCCTCACTGTATTTTGCCCACCCTCTTATCACTTATTTTGTTCTGTTATTACAGCTTCATGAATCTTCTACTACTATCTGCTTTTGAACAATATTAATATAATATTTCCAGTATGGCATTGAAGTATAACATATAATGTCGAAGAAAATATGGCAAATTCTTCATCAGGATCATACTCTTCTAACTTCCTTTATTTTTCCTTGAGGTGTCAATATTTAAAGTATAACATGCAGCACAAGTAAAAACACCTGGGAGCAGTGCACATATAAATGCAATATAGGCAAGAAGGCTACAAAGAATTTTTCTGCCTCTCTCCAGGTACCAATTTTCTCCTTTCGTCTGTTTTAGCATGTAGATAGCCTAGAGGCACTGCTGGACACACTGTTTAAAGATCTTCAAGATTTTATCATTTGAATAAACTACTGCAAGCTTTAAATGCTTTCTTTTATCCTCCAGACAAGAGCAGTAACTTTTATTTAATTTGGGATGAGCCAATATCCATCAACAAAACAAAGAAAACTACTGGCCCTGAACTGTGTCTCAAGACGTAGTAAAGTTATGAGCAGTGTTCATAAATTGCCAAGAAGGTTGTCTGTACTTATCCCATGAATCTCCAGCTTCAGTAAGATCTGCTGTCCCCACCCTGAGGCAGTGGCACATTGCTGTCATATTGTTTCTTCAAATGAAGTTGAACTATGACTGAAAATTAGATTATGCCGTTCTGAATGGGTAGAGGCACCTACGCTGACAGATTTTAGTAACTAAAAGCAACAATGTATGTATCTGGGAAGGGAGTAAGAACCTTTAAGGGGTTATAGTTTTCAGTACAAACTTAAAAAGTAAATTTTTCTTTTCAATTATTTTCCAAACATTTTATTTCTAATATAAGTAGAGTCTAAGTCAATTCTAATGACTCCAATACTAATCTATAATTTAAGAATTGCAAAAGATCTTTTCTCCTTTGGGTATAATATTTTGAGAAGAAACATTCAGGAAAGAAATTGGAAATGCATCATTTGTGTACCACAATGAGCATCTCTGAACAAATTCCTGTATTCTTGGATCTTTCTTTTTCTCCAGTTTTGCTTTCTAACACAAAAACCCTCACACAGTTAAGCTCCCAGTTTCAAATCATCAGTGAACTTGCTGAAGAGACATTCTAATCCTTCTGCTAAGTCTTTTCTAGGAAGCTAACTTTGTGCTGTAGCCAAATATCTCCACCTAGAATGTGCTCACAAATCAAGAGTTGATACCATTTTGTCTATACTTCATACATAGATGGAATTGTTTAACTACCTCTAATGTTTTTTTTGGAGTGTGCTCCAAAAGATGTAGTTCCTTGTAATGGCCACATGGTCAGCTCGAACGAAAACACGATGAGGAGTGTAGTCTCACGTGGAGCGGTCTCTACAAGTCTTCTGCTGGCTTAAAAAGTCACACAAGAAGGAATACATCTAGGTTCAAAGCACTCTGTATGATTTGAAGCAACATATGGCTTATTGATACGGGGTCACCAAAGGAACTGTCATTTTCACTGGGTTACTAGGTACTCTGATGGAGAAAAGAAGAATCTTTTTAGTAAAACATTTAATTTAAACTAAAAAAAAGAAAAATAGATGGATACTGAATTCTTAAGAATATAACTTATTAATAACACCATTAAGACATAGATTCGCTTCCAACAAGCCAAAATCAAATTCATAATCTCAAAAGCCCCTGCCCCAATTAATGGCAAGATCATAGCCTTAGATTAGAATATCCTTCCAGAGGTAACTCTATTACAAAACATAAAGTCTGAGGTGGCTATCTTCAGAAGTCATATGTTGAAAGTTGTATTTGGTAATTCCAGGCTAATGTAAATGATTAAATTAAATCCAGCAAATTATTATCCACCACAGTCCTGGTGGTAGTTACAACTCTAGCAAAAATCAAAGCATGTTATGCGAAGAAAAAGCATTCTGATAAGAGGAACAGCTCAGAATGGTGTCTTTTCTAGTCTACCGCATACTTTCTCGGAAAGCTCTTGGATCAATTTTCTCCATTTCCCAAAGGGAGGAGGCACCACTGATTGGACTGCTACGTCAGCTTAAAGAAGCTTCCATTCTCCTTTTTGAAAAAAATAAAAAAATAAAATTGCTATGCTTGGATTTCTAGCTAAAGAAGCTGTTTTACTGCTATGAATCCAGACTCCAGAGGTGCCTAGGGAGAGAGACCTAATGAAGCCCCTGACGTAAATCATTGTCTGGTGAAGTGCCTACCTATTGCCACTGATTGCACAGAGAGTTCACAGTTTCCCTTACCTTAGATATATAGTATAGTTGATGGACCTCGATTATCACCAAATTTTAGGGAGTGTGAATATCTTGCCTGTCTCTTTGTAATCCTAACTTCCTCTTGTGGAATTAATCCTTTGGTCTGAGCAGCAGAAAAATTCAAATTTGAGAGAGATTATTTCTGCTTTTTCCCCCCTCCCCCAGCAAAGCCCAAGAAATTAATACAGTATGAGGGTCTCTTTGGAAAGACATATGATTTTCAGTGTTAGAAAGCAATCCATATATAATTTCTGAGTGAAAATGGCAAAATTACTCTGCTGAAGACTAGCATCAAACTGGCCCAGGTTTTCAAAGGTGTTGAATTTTTTATCTCTAGGGAAATCAAGGATTGCTATAGAGATAAAAAGCTATATTTTCTGAAAGAGTGGCATCTTGTTTACAGCTGACTGCCATTGACAGGTGAACCTGTCATACTCTTAATCACTACTCAGGGAAATTCTGATAATATTGTGACAATATTGAAAAAATAGTAATTTTTAAGAATATACTTGCACACATAATTAAACAGTTTAGGTTTTTTTGCAGCCTCTATCTGTCTAATTCTAAAGCATGTTCTCTCTGGAAATTTCAAGTACGATATATACCTCTATAACTATTTTTCTTTCTTCTTATATGAATTGGAACCCTAAGAATATGCTTACCTGTGACCAGTTTTAAGTAGGTAGAAATTAGGACAGAACTACTATGTGTCAACTATCCCTTTTACTTCCAAACCATTAAGTACTCCATTTTGAAAACATATTCCATGTTCAGTGAGAATGGTATATAAGTTGTAGCATTTTACTATGGCTGCAACAATGAAATAAATGTCAGAAACTCTCAAACTAAAGCTATTATTCATGACTTGGTTATAATTTTATAATGATACTTCAGTTCCCAAAGAACCTCCTTGACCTCTATCTGCACAATAACTACAGCTGTAAAAACAAAGCTAAAATAATATGGGCCTTTTTGTAAAGGAAATAAGTACCTCTCTATCAATAAAAGAATCCAGACACTCAAGGCATTATTTATTTTCAGATAATTGACAAAAAATAATTTAACTATGTGTCCATATAAACTATGCATGACCCTCAAAAATCACTGGCAGACCAGGAATTTATAACCAGAACACATTCCCTGGACAGTGCAACTATTTGGATTAATAGCATTAAGAGACTTAATTTTGAAGGATTTGGGAATGTTTTTACAAGGTTTAGGAAGGATTTCATTGGGATTACATGATGAGCAATTTTGAGTGTGCTTAACTGTTCACATTAACTCTCTAGGCAACCATAACACAGATCAGTCATCCACTGGTTATTAATTCTTATCCAAGATTTTGTCACCATAAAGGGAATATCTTTGTAGTTCACTGTAAACTTCAACAAGCCAGTAGAAAAAAAAAACAAACACGCTTTGACAAGGATCTCAGTGCTGATGTTCTGTGTACTGCTGGATTTGAACAGAGTGTGCTTGTACTCTGCATATTTCTGTTCTCTTGTGTTGCCTTGAGAAAAAATGTAATTTTACTATTTGATCTAAAATTATGTTTAAGTTGGCCTATATTTAAATTGATCTATATTTGCCATATGATAATATTCCTTGACAACACCACTTTCAAAGATCTATTAATTGAAAATCTAACTCAGTTTAAATCAGTATTTAAACTGAGCACCAATGTTCTAAGATTAATTCAAGGGAGAAAATATGCATAAACTAAAAAGTTTTAGCAGTTGGATGTTGGTAGTTCTACTTGCACAAATTAACTACATCAATTTTATGACAAACGTCCTTTTACATGAACTGGGACAAGCCACAGAATTTGGGTTTCTATATAAATTCTAGAAAATTGAATTAAAAAAATAATTGTATTTTTTTATAATTCTTGGAACTTGAAATTTTAGAAAGAGATGTACTTTTCTGTGTTTAATTTTTTTCTAATGAGATCACAACTGCAGTAATATACCAAAATGTGAGTGTCCAATGCTGAGCACACTGTTCTGTTGTATGCTACTATCTGAAGGTAAATATGCAAATGCACAAATAAACCAAGAACTGATGCCTGCAAACAACACTGGGAAAAATAACAGAGGCAGCTGTGCACAGAGCTCCAAGAGCACGGGACAAATTTATGAGTATATGTAAATTTACTCAATTATTGTTTTGAAAATATATTTTACCTTTCACTGCAGATAACTTGTCTTACTTGCTCTATCAATTATTCTGCAGTAGAAGTCTGATTTTTCTGATGCAAAGGCAGACAGGAAGTAAAAAAAATATTAAAGAAAGTAAAAAAAATGTTCAACTATACATGAGAGAGATTTATTTGCTTGATTGTTTTTTTGTACTTTGCACATTTAATTACCTGTGGGAGTGATTCTTGTGGACATTGGATTTTTGAAAATCAAAATAAGGTGTGAACAACTATTGATGGAATTACCTGCCTAGAAATGTTAAATTCTAATACAGAACTCTGGAATAAATTTAATGGACTTTTTATTTTTTTACACTTAAAACTTGCCTTGTAGCCTGAGAATTTCAGTATTGAAACTGAATGGCAGCAACTGAGATTTCCTGACTAAAGGAAATACTTTCATAGAAGCAGCTAAGACTATTTTATTCGGAATGCTGTAAAACACAAAGAGCTGTATATTTCTAACTTGGCTACACTATTAGATCACTAAAAAATTGTATCAGCAATAATATTGTCAACAAGTGTTCTTCATTCAGCTATTGTCATTTAGATACTTTTACTTATAAACTATCCTGATTCAGAGTTCAGCACTGGTCATTTGTTTCAGAATATAGAACAGTCAGGCTGGTACATTACAGTGCTATTACCTCTCTTCCCTTTGTTGCAACTATATTATTAAATATTTTTATTATAGCAAAGAAATTCCCAAATGTTTGTCACCACCAAACTCTTAATATGAATCTCACCAACAACAGATTGTGCATACCTGGAATTCAGCTTTTAGTAGAATAAAAGTGCATGCAAAAGTTGAGAATGCAGAATTTCTTTTTAAAATTCATGTACATAAGTGGAAAAATGGCTAGAGGGCCTAATTAATGGTTACTATTGGAACTTCTAATTCATCTGCAGAATTAGATGTGGAATTGAAAAACCAATCTACTGTAACACACTGCACAAACCATCTACCGAAAAATATCCAACTATGAAATTAAATCCCTTATTATGAAAAACATTATATTTGACTGCCAAGTGGCACAGCCAAGGAACTATTGTCTATACTTTTAAAGTGCTTTAAATATTAATATAGAAACCAGCATTATCAATTTCAACTTGCTTGAAAGAACAATAAGGCAGAATTCTAGAGCAACAGAAAAATTTCTTTCACATGCCATTTTTTAACATTGCCGATTTCTGACTGTGAGCTTAACTCTCTGACTAGAAATTGCCTTATTGTCTTGATATTAAAAGACCACAGCAAAAACACCAGTAAGAAAAAAGGCATTTGCAACAAGTGTAGCACAGCCCAGCTTCAGCAGAAAATGTGAATTATATTTTATTTTAACAAACATCATTTACCCTGATTTATCCACTTCGTGTAAAAAAAAAAAAAAATCTTTTAGGGAAAACATGTTTTAATTGAAGACAGAAAGAAGAGTGGATATGGGCTGGGCATGTAAGAAATAATATTGTGAGTTTTTGACCAGTGTGAGTATTGCCTCACGAGCTGGGCACTGGGAAATGGTGTCCCATGTTCTACCGTGCAACGCAAATTCCTTCAGTTTTCTTAAAGCTCGTAGAGTTTATTATGCTTCTTAGTACTTCAAATGTGGCGGGTAAAGGAACATTTTGTTTCTGTAAACCTGGACTGATTGTAGAAACCTATTAAATAGCGACTGTTTGAAAGCTGAAATTAATTTCTGATTGTGGAGAAAAGGAGCCAGCGAGTGATTTACGAGCAGCAGGAGGCTCCCCTCGGCAGGAAATGCACAGGAAGTACCGGGGCGGTGACTGGCGCAGTCGCACCGCCCTCAGGCGAGCGGGAGATTCGAAGGGCGGGCGGCGGCCATGGTGGAGGGCCCGGGCTGCGCGCTCTGCGCCGAGCGCCTGCG